CTGCCTGCCTCATTCCTCGCCAGATCTCCACTGGCTGCAATGCGTGGAAGTGCTGGTGCACTTGTGCGCTGAGTCAGGAGGAGCAGCGCTGGAGGAGAAGACGCGCTGGAGGGAGGAAGATGCCTGTACGCTGGAAGTGATGCAGCCATAGCTGCCCAGCGAGTTAGCATTAGTAGTAGAGGGTTAGTATGTAGCTATGAGTAGTATCCAGAGTAGATCCTCATGAGTATTGAAGAGTGTGTATGCATCATAGGAGGAAGGGATTGAGGCTGAGAGTGTTCATTCAAGGTTGGCCATGGAAGATACTTACCTGAGTTGGATGTGACCTGCAGAGGTGGCGCTGATGAGTGGTGACCACATTGATGACTTGGAGACTATCTGCAGGGGTAGCACTGATTCACTGGAAGGCATATTGATGAGTTGGCAAGATATTGGTGTTGCGCTGATGAGCGCTGGACTCAGGGGAACTTTGAAACACTTTGTATTCATATTTCTGATAATATAAACTGTGAAACTCGGTCCTCATCTTCTCTATCTTTGTCTATTGTCAGACTACTGTTCATTGTGTGTGGGAGTACGATGCATGGCATGTACACACTTGCGTGAGATGGTCCCCAGGACCCATGCACCTCTTCCTCTCCTTGCTGTAATCTCGTCCCCCTCCATCTTGACCTTCCTTACTCCCTTTACACCCTTTATAAACCGCCCATGACATGAGTCCCTTAACCCCCTCTACAGCAAGCCCTCCCCCCTCCCCTACCTCCTCAACTCACTGAGCATGATTTACCCCCTCCTTCCCTGGCCCTCTACGAGCAGGAGCAAGTTCTAAATAGTGTAAATAGTTACTGATCATGATTCACCAGTCGACTATGGGCACACCCAGACATACTGATCCAAATCTGAACATCAGGGTCTGCACTCCCTGCACACGCTTGAGTATGTTTTCTCAGTGGAGCACTTTTCTGGGAGGGGAAAAGGACGGACAAAAATGTCTGGAAACAAAAATGTATGACAACCAAATGGAAGAACCATAATGAAACTGATACGCATCCTGAGCCGTTCCAGAGACCAAGGAAAAAAGTTGCTTTACCAGTGCTTGATTGAACACACCAACTAACGAGTAAGGTGCCATTGATGGGTTCAGCATAGGTCCCTGCAATCAGATGCAAGAGAAGCACACAAGAAACAGCACGACAATGCACATCAGCCAATTGGAAAGTCACATGATCAATGGGCCTCTAGAAAGAATATCCTTCCACCTTCCATCTAGTGGCTAGAGCATCACCGGCCACATAGACGGCAGACTCTCAGCAGAGCACACTTGGGAAGGGCAATACCTTAAATCACACCAGATACAGCCACAAGAACACCCTCCCCCACTCCTCGCCCCCCTCCACCTTCCCCTTCCCCGCACCAAAGAACTGCATTAAGTGTAGTGATGCCAGCAATGCTTTCATCTGTGAGCCAGCAGTGCGCTCTTCGGAGAAACTCTCACAAAGTTTTGCACGACTGAGTTAGAAAGCAGACTCCGCTGTTTCAGTTGCCAACCCACTCTCCACCTACCTTGAGAATGACCTGTTGAGAACAGAGGGGACAGAGCCTTCCAAAGTAGACAGCCTTCCCCAATCAAGCACAAAAATGCAATTCAGGAGACTTTGGACGTAAGTCCGAAGATGACCAACCACTGGGAAAGCCTAAACAGTAAGCCTAAAACACAGTCCCCAGTGCCCTGCATATCAGTCAGATCGGTACTTACGCAATCAGACTCGCTCTCATTCACACTTTTCATGCATGTAAACAGTAGCGCAGCAAACTGGCGACATGCGCCCACTCAAAACACAGAGATATGGCATCCAGATACGAGTTCACTTCCAATTGGCTATGGCGACTCAGCGCCCAAACAACTCACTGTTCACATACACCGGATCACCCTGGATATCCCACACGCAACTCTCTGAACACTCACTCACACACACACACTGAACACTTACTACAGCTATGGCGGCTATGGCCGCAACTACCCTATCGCTAGGCTACGCTCCTTCACTC